AAAAAAAAAACTTTACAAATACCATTCCAGTGTCAATGACTACATATGGCTAAGGTCATTGAGGAGTTTCTGCATTTTCTAGCAAAGGCAGTCTGTACAATGGGGGGTGCGAAAGCTCCCGTTTGTAAGTCTTTGGTGGCAGTTTTGGTAGGTGAGGGCTTGAATTCTGCCTTGGTGGAACAGGGGGAGCTGGAGGATGAGCAAGATTATTATGACTAGAATTGAGCACATAGCATTGTCGTGGTACCCTCGGAGAGGGTGTGCTAGGAGGAGTGCTTGGCGAGTTTGGACACGTACTAACATCTCTGAACCAGTCTGGATCTCTGTGAAGATGTCCCAGTGGAGGTGGCTGAAGATTAAATGGACAATTTATAAAGTGTTCTGGAGGCCGAAGGGGAACTGGTGGAGGAGTATCAGGAAGAGGATCTCTTGGTGGTGGTGGAGGTGGACTATGCAGAGGCCCATCAAATGCACCAGTAGGAACAGGAACTCTGGGTTTTACTTTTGGAGGAGGAGGCTGTCTCGGCGGAATAGCAGGAGGGTCATCATCAGATTTCATATTTCCCTCAAAAAAAAAAGAGAAAAGAATAAACTATACCTCTATTCTCTTGAAAATTTTGTAATAAAAAATTTTAAAAGATTGAAAAATTCTTATGTGCCAAGTTAAATCCAGAGGCTCAAAGTAGATTAATTTGGTTTAATTATCAGATTTATGAGTAAATTACTCCTAATTTAATTCAGGGCTCAGTTTAATATTTTTATATATGAGGTGTTTTAATTGAAATGTTAGAACATAAAGCCTTGGGTTATCTTGCTTTGTGTATACATTTCAGAAATTATGTATTTTAATTATAATAATAGGTAAGTAAATTAAAATAATATATAGCTTTGTAGACATGAAAGGACATGATGTCAAGAGGACTTTAATGTCCAGCTTCTACCTACTGAGCATCTACTTCTACTTTCCCCAGTGAAGCCCACAGTAGTAGATCTCAAAAGTGTGACCCAGGGACCATCATCATCAGCACCAGTAGGGAACCTGTTAGAAAAGCAGATTCTTGAGCCCCACCCTAGACCTACTGAATCAGAAACTCTGGGGGACGGGCTCAACAATTGCCTTTCAGGTAATTCTGATCCACCCTTACATTTCAGAAGCACTAGTTGAAAGTTTGAAGAATATTGCTAATACTATCAAATTTCTTTCCATCTGTACCAGAAAGAAAATGTACTTCTGTGAATCTGCCCAGCCTCTTTTTTAGAAAAGGTTTTCGTGAGGATTAAACAACTACTTAAAGTATTCTCAAATATAACCCAAATGTTGAAAAACCATAAAGGGTAGCCAAAGTATATTGACAGACTCTTTATAAGACTGAGCACTATTTTGAAGATTCACAACTTTCACTAAGTTGAAGCAAACCTAAGTCCTGCTGACTACCTTGGAATTCGAAGCATCATGATCAAACTTTTTTCGAGGAGGAAGTGGAGGAGGAATCAGTGGCTCATCACTTAGTTTATGTAAATTACCACAGGAACTGAAGAAAGACTCTGAGGGAAGAAAAGACTAGTTTAACCACAACTCACAGTGTAATTATAAAACAAAACTTCATCACAACTTGTGATCACTTCTGCTGAGGCATTCGTCAAACTGCATTGTCTGATAGCTGATTATTGGTTTATCTATCTTCCGCATTAAACAATAAACTTTCTGAGGGCAGTGTGTGTTTATTTTTGTATCTCTAACATCTAGCACAGTGCCTGCTATATGATAGATACTATAATTAAATGAAGGCATACAATTAAAATTAATAATGAAATTCTGCTCCCTGAAAAGCCTTTTAAAAATTTAAACAAAACATGTTTGAATATACTAATAACTTCCAGAGAAAGACCATCCTAATCAGAGAACAGAGATGTATTTTTGAAGCAGCTAGAATCAGGCACATTACTACACAGGTGATAAAACCTCCATATAGGAGACCATAAGGTAGTGTCATATCACATCACTCTTTTTCTTTGCAAGTCTCTCATTAATAACATACATGTTATATAACTACGTTAAAGGAAATTTATAAAA